CTGTTCACAGCCAAGCCATGACGCCATTAGACATCTGCTTCTCGTTTACGTGAAGTCTTTATAACGCTCGCATTTGGCTCGTGCCTCCTTCTAGCCCTACGAGAAAGATTCATTTACTCAACGCTCTGGCAAAAGCCTCCCCTCGACATGGCTCAGCAGGGCCTGACCCCGCATCCCATGCACAGCGGCGTTCCTGCCTGCTGGAACAAATGTACGAGCGGGGACGGGTGTGACACAGATGTCACAGGTCTGGAGAACTGAAGCGGGACCTTCTGGAGATCCCCTTCACCCACACATGGTGCGAACCACTTGCTAGTGCTTCCCTCCGAGGACACGGGAGGGAAATGCCAAACTCTGCAGCCCCCGAGCATTCCTGTCCTTCCCGGCAGCCCAACCTACCGGTCATGTTCTCATCCAGGGGCAGGGACACTCCCACATCACAGATCTTGATGGCTTCAAAGTCCCCTTTAACCACGATATTTGAAGACTTGATATCTCCATGGAGCAGCTTCTTCTCGTTGTGAAGATACTAAAAGGCAGAGAGAAGCCATTAACACTGGCTCAGAGGCAGGAGGAGCCACCAAATTTGGACAACAAAGCATCAGCTTCTTAATATTTAACATATTTAACCTCAAAACCTCGAGGATGGGTCAACACCTACCTGCAAGCTGTACAAACGCCGGGCAGGTTGTTCCACCCAGCCTAGTCTGGGAGGTTTTTGGTCACCTTTTAGCAAAGTGCTTCTAGCAACAAGCGCGTGGGCAGCAGCCGCTGGCCATGGCCACGTTATCTGCGGAGCTCCGAGCTGTGTGTCCCCGGCAGCGACAGCGCAGGACCTGCTGCCATGGCTGGGGAGGACCCTGCTTTTCACCCCGGCCCCTGGCCCAGCCGGGGGGAGGCTCAGAAGCCGTGCTGTGGCTTAGAGCTCCGCCAAGTCTCCCTTTCCCCATTTTTTTCCCCCTAAATGCAATCTCAGCATGGTGGCTGCTGCAGCTCAGCCGGAGGAGGTCTGCAAGGCAGCCGCGGGCATCGGCAAACCACCTTCACTGCCACAGCCAGCTTCCTGCAGCAGCAAGAATAAGGACACAGGAGCCAGCAGCTCCTTGCCGGCTAGGGTGCGGGGACAGCAGGTAGCCCCAGGGGAGGACAGCAGGACCCTTGTGACAAAAACTGTCACATCTGTTTTTATATTACTTCAATCTGAACCTTCAGGGCTCAGTTTTCACCTGAGCCTGTACAGCACCCTGGTAAACAAAAAAAAACCACCAACCCACCAAGGCCTTATACGAAGCATCCCAGCATCTGCTCTCCATCTGCAGCACGGCCGCCCCGCACACCAAATTCATTTATTTTTCCAGTATCACCAGTGTGTACGAGTCCATCCAGAACAGCTACGGTTAGTGTCAAACATACCTTCAGCCCCCTCGCCATGCTCAAAGCAACTTTGAAAATCGTGGCGGCAGGGAAAGGGCCGAACCGTTGTGCTCTTCGTTCTTCAATTAAATCGTTGAGAGATTTTTCTCCTCCATACTCCATGGCCAGACACATGCTTCCGTCGTTGGCCTCAGTGAACGCACGGTAACCTTCCAACAAAGATTATTTGTTAGAGAGCTGGAGCAGGCACCAGCGTTTCCGCGTGCTCACCGGCCCAATGGAGCCGGAGCACTCGGGGCTGCTACCCAGGTGCTTTCCCAGATGCTACAACCATCCCCAAACAAATCCACATCCCAGGGCCTGGCACACAGCTTCACGTGGTGAGGTGAAGCCACAGGAATGTCCCTGGAGACCTGCGTGGCCTCGAGCAGGGCCACGAGCCACCAGCCTCGCCGAGGTGAAGGAGCTCGCTCCTCCAGGAGAGCCCAGAGACACCCCCCGTGCTGCTTTCACCCCGTGCCAGGAGCTTTATCCCGATTTTTGCAGGACAGAGAACCAGGAGAAAGGAGGAAGGAGAGCAGCAGCAGCTCTGCAGCACCAACATCTCCAGCTGCAAAGAACAGGAGCCGCAGAAGCGAGACAAAGGGCTGGGGGACGTTTGGGAAAGCCAAGACCTCGTCTTTCGCAAGGTGAGACTAACGTGCATACGGACTGTCGTGTAACCTCTCTTCCTCCACGTTTTACTCCTGGTTGTAAGGGATACTCTTCAGGTGGAGCTATAAATAGCAGTCTTGCATAACAGCATAGCAAAGGTTTTATCCTGTAAATGATTTGCTGCACCTTTTACAAAAAAAAGCAGTGAAATGCTTGCAGTGCGAAAGGTCGAGACTATCTTTGCTCTTAAATTCCTGCCAGAAACAAGACGTGCCATTTTTGGGACACAAACAACGTTCTTGGCACCCAGCATTTCTCATACAAGTGACCGCACCGAGATACTTAAA